TTTAATTTTGGTCACGTACTCTCTCCTCCACAGAACAATTTCTTCTCTATCCATAAGTAAGCTGTTACGACCTCGTTTCTTCCATTCGAAATTAAAATGCTTCAAAAGGGCGTAGGAAGTAAAAGTGTCCATGTTTTATATTTTGAAGTAAAAGTTCACTAACATTTCGGTCACCTTAGCGGCCTTTATCTGCGGACAGATAAATAAAATGTTATCATTGTCATTTTGAATTTTGTTCTTTGAAAAAGCCACCGAGTTGGCCGAAACTACAGCTATTTTTCTTTTTTATTTGGCGGCCAACAGAATCTGGAGACTATCTAGCTAGTCAACTGCATGATACATTTTAGATTACATTAACGAAAAAAAAACAGAAACCAGTGGTTCCCTTTATATCTATGCAGATATCTCGTTCCATGTTATTTTATCGAGTGCGGTACAGATAAATCATTTCCCACTATTATTACGGTTTTGTTATACACCAGCATAATATAAATGTCTACATAAAAAAAGTAATAGATTATCGTATCATAATAGATATTATAGGTGATTGATATCTATTTTTTATTGCCATTTTCGGCAATCGTATTTCACATAATGTTATCTATGTTGCCTACTTACTGTTAAATAGTCTAGTATTATATCAATAACTTTGATTAGCTTAATGTATAAAGATTATATTGCACTGATTTCGAATACAATAAGCTTTGGTGTTTTCTTCGTGATGTATCATATTTTTCCGAATGTTATCAATCTTTCATGTCGCTCATCTTGTTTCTTATAATATGCACCACCAATCACTGGCGTACAAAATTAAAATAATCTTTTGTGGCGAAAAATTGCTACGAATTCAACATTCTAAAGACAAATACGCCAAAAAGATCAAAACTTCATGTACAACATTGTGACTGGTCTCGAAAAAAAAATCCGTCAATGAGCAATCTTTTGGTCAGTGCAAATCTCTACATTAACTCTGATGGAGACTATTTTTAATTAAATAAATTCGATTTTCCGTTTGTTTGTTTACTTGTATTTACTTCGCGACAGACCTTGTATATTTCAATAAGAAATTTAAAAAAAACCCGTTTCATCACTTAATTTACTCGCCAAATAAGTAGGGACACTGGTATCTTTTTAAGTACCTCCACCATAGATAAACCTTTTATACGTCTTGAAAGAAATGACTATCTGATAATTTCATGGCCCAGTTTGAAATTCTGTTTTTGGGAAATAAATAAGGTGTGGAAATGTCAATGTATGACATATACAGTAATGGACAAAAGTATAGGTATAGACAAATATGAATATTTACCTAAATACCTTTAGAAAACGAATTCATACTTCATTGCTCCATAAACAAATGCGTTATTAGTAGAAAAACTAAATTTCTTGTTTATCTGCAATGAACACAAGTTTGAATATAAGCACTTTTTTATGAAGGACAAAAATATGTAGTCAAATTCTTTTCAACATTAGTTTAGTACAGTTTCGTGACAGAAGAGGGTTAGTCTGTGTTCTACAAGTATTTTGGAATAAGTTGAGTGATTTTAAGACCATACCGCGTAGTCCAGAAATTTCTTTCGACGTAAAAAATAAGATCATTGAGTTATACAAAGATGGTCAACGTCAAGTCGACATAGCCAAAGATTTAAAGCTGAAGCGTAAAGCAGTTTGGGCAATATTGAACAAATATAAACAAAAAGGTATCTTGGAAGCCTCTAAGAGAAGTGGTCGGCCTAGGAAACTAAATGCTAGATCAGTTAGATTAATAAAAGTAATTTCGTCCAAAGATCCGTTTGAAACCCCAAGACCAATAAAAGCCGAAATCGAGACAAAAGGAATTGTCAGTGTTTCTACGAAAACTATAAGTAGAAAATTAAATGATTTGAAGTTATTTGCACGTCGCCCGTGTAAGAACCCGCTAATCTCGAGGAAAAACCCTAAGGACCGATTACAATTTGCACGGTTGCATCTTGATTGGAGCATCTGTGACTGGAAGAGGGTTTGTTTCAGTGACGAATCCAAGTTCAATATGTCTGGATCAGATGGTGTTCATTACGTTAGACGTCGTAGTGGACAAAGATTGAACCCCAAGTACACTTTGCTCACTGTCAAACATGGAGGCGGGTCTGTTATGATTTGGGGGTGCTTTTCGGGGTTTGGGATGGGATCTTTACATATAATAGATGGTATTATGGATAAGTTTGTATACACAGACATACTAAAGCATGTCATGTTACCCTATATGGAAGACAAAAAGGCCTTAAGATCAATCTTCCAGCAAGATAATGACCCGAAGCACACTTGAAATCTTCTGGATGAAAAAATACTAGTTCTGAAATGGTTTTCAGTCTCCCGATATAAACCCCATTGAAAATCTATGGGAATACTTAGATAAGCAAATACGAGATAAAAATTATTCAAACAAAGATGAACTTTTTGCCGCGTTAGAGCAAAAGTGGAGACAGATTGATGAATCTTATATCAAGAAACTTCTACAATCCATGCCGAGACGATGCCAGGCGGTGATTGATAATAATGGTTATGCTACAAAATATTAACACAAACATGGTTGGTTTTATATAATTCAATGAACTTTGCCTGTTTTTTCTATAATTGTTTTCCTTTGTCTATATATTTTTGTCCTTCATAGTTGCAGTTTTTTTCAATTAATTTTGTATTAAAGGGAGTCTAATGAATACTCGGAACTACATGTTTTTAGTTACCTGAATGCAAAACTTTGCCCCCATTTAGTTGACTTCGTATCTCTTACCGTCTCCGAATGGTGACACTCGAACTTGAAACACCCGGTGTTTGCATATGATTAACAGCATTTTACGGTACATAGGATCCAGCCTAATATTTCCGCATCAGTTCAGTGGCATTTGAAGGATGTTAAACCAGTGGAAGAGTTGATGGAACATTTTCAGCAGCTCTTCACAAATTTGTTCGCGCTTCGTCAAGAACAGAACTCGCGATATCCATATTTTATATCGCCTTTTCTATATAGTCTCATAATTCACGTTCTTGATCTTCACCGTACGTTTGAATGGGTTGTATACAAACAGTTCATTCATTGAAAGTAACGATGCGTCATAAAATAAACAATGCTCACAATGAATGAACGTTGTTTATGTCTGCAGGTGTTTGGTTTTTTTCTTCAATTACAACAGGTGCGACTAAAACGATTATATATATATATATATATATATATATATATATATATATATAAAGTAGAAAAAAAATGGGCAAAATCCGCGAAAAAGAGGAAAGTGGATTCGAGCAGAAAATAGGATAGGGAACCCGAGCGATACGTATTTCTGCTGGTTGGCTTCATCAGGCCCTAAATGAATGCACATATGAAACTACAAAAGTAGATACACATGCCCACACATCCGGATACGGGTGTAACCTGAGGAAACGAAGATGGAGAGGGAAAAAATTCGACACACGATGTCCACAAGAGCCAACCTACACATTGTAGTATAAAATGGCTAGAAGACCTCGAATTGTCAAGGAGAAAGGTAACCACAACCACGCGGCCAGTTATAGCCACTTATTGTGGTACTTCACTACGTATCCGGATGTGTGGGCATGTGTATCTACTTTTGTAGAGTTTCTCATCGGCATGTAAATATGCCCCAAAGAACGCAACTTTTTCCTAATATTACCTAAGATGTTTCTCCTACAGGTATTGAGATCAGAAAAAAGCGACAATCATTTTAACAAAAGATATACATACTACAAAATACAACTACTTTCTTCGATAGCACTTCTGTGACATCCGACATACAAAAAATATCACATGACTATACTTTCATATTACACCCCGTACCTTTTATATAGAACTTTTTCTTCTAGATAAAAGCCAATATATAACTGACTGACTTAAATTGCGCGCCATTTTTGATACGCGCATTTCAGCAAGCGGCTCCGTAGTAGTTGTTTAAAGCACATGTGTCCAATTCATCATGGAGCGGCTACACGATTCCACAACGCGTCCGTATTGTTAAAACGTTTTACTTAAATAATGTACTGTTCGTACACCGGCAAATATCGTGACAGTTCGTGAAAGTGTAGTGGAGCGCCGTAAGACGTCTACCAGACATCGTTCTCAAGAACTGGGCACTCATCGTACGTCATTATGCACTATTTTAGAAAAAGACGTGCAACATGAAAGTCGCCGACAATCCAGTCATTCAATATTGCAGTTTAATACCCGAAATAACGATTTCTACCGACAACGGATAATGAGCGATCAATCCCACTTCGATGTAAACGGATTTATTAATAAGCAGAATTATCGTGTCTGGGCATTAGAGAACCCTCGTGTCATCCATCAACGACCGTTACATCCTCGTCAGTGCCGGATGCTCCGCTGTTCGATTTTCGTCCGCCGGCGCGCATGACGTCACCCAGAGAGTGACTCTCATTCAGATTGATATGGATAACGTGTATATTTTCACGTGCAGGCCAAACGGCTGGACGGATTGTCTCATGTAAGGTGTCGTTGGATTCGTCTTAGCGGCGCGATTGACACTACCTGCATTGAAATTTTATAAAAAACAAAATGGTGGATTTTAATAAAAGATCTCACAGGCTATTGCTTAAACGGCTTTCTAGCTCCACAATAGAGCGTATATCGTCACTTTACTGTAAAAACAAGATTTTTCTGTATTACCTATATGTATTTTAGTATGTTCTGTGGAGCAGGATTAACATGCTCAGATTTGCGCGGCTTCCAGAGTGGACATTTGACGGATATTATTTTTTACATGCTTTCTAAGTTTCATTAAAAGATGAAGATAAAAAAATTACGTATTTTATTTCATTTCACACATATTCAAACCAGTCAGTTACATATCGCCCACCCTGTATAAGAAAGTTAGAGGGGGCAATTTTTTAAGCGACGCTTCTATTTTTGCTAGTATGCAGAATACTCCGCGGAATTTTTATTGCTCCTAAGTGCAAGCTCATATAATAGGAGACGTTTTCTTTTACAGGTGGCACAGACAATAACAAAGGCAAGAGTAAAAAGTGGAGGAAAATCCTGCAGTTTCCGCACATTTCCCAGTGTATCGAGCTCGTCAACAAAATAGGCAAGTACATTTATCTCATCCTCATTTCATCTCTTGCTGTTTCCGTTTCGTTTTATCTCCCCAACAGCTGTAAAGCATGATAAATAGTCGGTGCTGGCGTGTTCTCTTGAACTTGGGTTATTTTTGAATGAGGTTAGGTTCCAACGAGACTGTTTACATTGTCGGTATAGTACAGTACTCGGGAACAATGAGTTGATAAATGTTCAGAAAATTTCATAACAGGCTGTTTGGCGAGGTAATTTAGGATACAGAATAGCGTCCAGTGGATTAACTCTATACATCCCATGCATTCGAGACGTGTCAACTAAGGGTGTAACATAAATTAATGATTCTTTGAGTAATTTTAAGACAACAGGTTCATATAAACATAGATCCGCGGATTCTTCGTTCTCCAAATACAGGGTGTTAAAATTTAAAAGAAATAGTTTTTCGTAAATTCCTTAAATATCTTTTACCTACTTTGGTTGAAATTTGGCGGTGGTATTTATAACATTAAGGAGCTAATTTACCTCTAACTTGATTAAATCCAGTGGCGTCCCAAGCGGAATCTGAACGATATTTGTGACAAAAAAATGTACGTCACTGACATAAACACTCGACAGAAATACAACTTTTTGGTCTCCTGTTTTTTTTCGTATCTTACTTTGTTTTCGAGAGGAAAAAAGTCCATATAATTGCATATCTCTGGACCACACACAGGTTAAATAAGAATTCTATCTGACACGCATGGAACATTTTTAGAAGTCAGATTTAGGTATTCACCACCTGAAGCAACTCCAGCTAGTTCTTGTGCTTTGACTACTATACTAAGTGACATATAAATCCGAACACCCAGTTTAAATGGTTTTATTTTAATAAAATTTTGTATAAGTACTTAATGAAGCATAATAAGTAAATGATAAAAATTTCAAAATGATTGCACTGCTTTAAAGTCCTTTGACCTTAAATAATGTGTGGATGCACCCTGATGTGCTACGCATTCTCCAACGCGCCTAGGCATGCTTCTGATCAGGTGGTCAATGTCCTCCTGTGGTATCTCATTCCAGGACGTTGCAAATTGAGCAAGCTCCTACCCATCATATCCCACACGTGCTCAATTGGGGATAAGTCGGGAGATCTTGGTGGCCATGGTAACAATGTGACATCATTATGTTGAAAGAAGTCTATTGTGACTCTTGCAACATGTGGTCGGGCATTATCTTGTTGGAAAGTTGGATCTGCCAGGGTGTCAAGATAGGGTAAAAGATGGGGTTCTAGAACTTCGTGGATATAACGCTGCGCGTTCATGTTACCCCTGATGAAGATTAAAGGTGACCTGGAACCATAAGCTATAGCACCCCAAACCATAACTCCAACAGTGTGATGAACATGTCTTTCAACAAAAAACTGTGGATTCCTCCTTTCACCACGTCGCCTTCTAACCCTGGCACGACCATCGTGCATGCCTAAACAAAATCGAGACTCGTCACTAAAGACAATACTGTTCCATTCCTGATCCCAGAGTGACCGTTGTCTGCACCACTCAAGGCGATTACGTCGGTGTTCTCGAGTTAAATGGAGGACCCAGTGTGGCCGGTATGAAAACAAGCCAAAACTTCTCATTCGTCGGTAAACACTTCGCATGCCAATAGGTCTTCCGTGTGCTGCAAACCATTCATTTGCAATGGACCTGGTAGTGGAGAAACGGTCCCTTAAGGCCAATAATCTTAGGCGGCGATCTTCACGTTCTGTTGTTCTACGGCGGCGTCCAGTACCCCTTGCTCTTTGCGTTCGGCCTTCTCGAAGCCATGCCTGACAACACCTAACCACAGTGTCTACACTTCTTTGCACTCTAACTGCAATTGCCCGAAAAGAAAGTCCAGCTTCCCGAAGTCCCACTATACGGCCCCTATCAAACTCACTAAGTTGACGAAATCGTACAAGTCTCCGTACTCTAGGCATCGTAACCGATCGTAAAGGATGTCAAGAACCAAAATCCGCCAACGTCGATTCTTTACTGCGGCTGAAATATTCATTTTTAGAGCGTTAGTGATTTAAAAAAAAGCAGTATAAAAACCGGAATGTCCAACTGATAAGGCTGAAAATTTTTTCACTTGTTATTTACAGTAAGATAAATGCATTCACCAACTTTTATTAAAATAAAACCATTTAAACTGGGTGTTCGGATTTATATGTCACTTAGTATATTTGCACGTGATTTACAATTCTTTTTTTCAATGAAAAGATCTTGGATGGTGACTTTTTATATGGAAATTAATTTTTCCAAAATACCATTTTCCAGCAGCACCTCGACGTCAAATATCAACACAGATCAAGTGACATTGGAGAATAGACCACAGGAGATTGATTACCGATCACAGGAAGGAATGGATGCGAATTTTGACACCTCTGAGTTGTCATATTTCGCCACCTGAGAGGTGTTTTTTCACATCGTTGTTGGCTGTGATTTGAAATATATTAACATGTGAATTATACACGATAGAGCTAAAAAGTCTTGTGACGTTCAAAATTAAAAAAAATAAAAAGGTATATTTGCTTAAAATGGGTGAATAAATAATAACAAACAATAAATAATCAAAAACAACAAATGAACAGAACCAGTAACTGGAACAGTATTTAACAAAACAACATAATAAATGAAATACATATAGTATATATACATATACTTCGAAGTTGAGTCATTTATTTTAACAGTCAGTAGATCTGATCAAAAGAAATGTTTTTTTCCTTTACCATTTTTCTGGTAAAATTAAAGTAACAAAGTTTTAGCCCTTTGGAAGTTTGAGTACCGCCCTGTCTCAATAATAATATTATGTGCTCGTGTTTGGCAACAACGGATATAATCCGCCTTATCGGTTCATCGCATCGGAAACAAAAAAGCGAAAGAACTTGGAACGATGTTTTTACAATTATTTTATTCAGTTGTATTCAGTCAGTGTCAGTCGGTAACGCGTGAGTGAATAGTGGTGTCTGTTGCGTGGCTCAAACGAAATCAAAAATGGAACATGTTTACGAAAATGCTGAACTTGTGGACATGATTCTTATTTACGCGGCATCACGGATTTATACGGATCGGTTTCCCAATCGAGTGCAACCAACCCCTCGTGCCTTTGTTAATGTAGTACAAAGGGCTCGTGAATCAGGTGACTTAAGACCTCACAGGGGAGAAGGGAAATTTCCGTATAAAAGTTGCTCCCTCCAAGATTTTTGTTGTGCAGAATTACATATTACACTGTCGTGTCCACGTTAAATCTGCACTAACGCCCAAATACGTCTTTATGTTGAGTGCACCATGTACCATCACCGATAGTGCGACTGATTATACACTGAAATCAAAACAAAATACTGCAACTGCAATTATATGTATGAATGTTGAAAATCTTGAACAGTTCCGGACCAGTGGTGTTCAAATGTCGTTGAGGAACGGTAAAGAAGTGTATGAATGTGACGAAACGCAACACCTAACGAAAATTTAAGTGAAAAGGCTTATATTCATGTAACAATTTGGAAGTGCAAATGTGCAAATGTAGGATAAACTATAAACACACGGTAGGTGATGTTAAGTTAATATAATCATATATGGATTAAAAAAGTTGCAATGCACATGGAGAAACCTTCAGCTAAACTGAAAAAAATGGATTTTACTCAGACATCAAGCATTTTTTTTTAAATTTTGGATTAGCTTTATATAATTTCGTAATATTTAAGGAACTGAAAATGTCACTGTCACTTCATATTTTACAGTGTTTTGTTTCGAATACTTTGATGCTATTTGCTGCGAAAAATTTGACGGACAGATCATGAGGCTGATTCGATATATATGTATTTGACTGTCTGTTTGGTACTCGTACCCTATTGGTGCAAAATAATGGTTTGTTAAATTGTGAAATCCGCCCTAAGTCGCTTATAACGCGACAATGGTCAAATTTAGAGAAAAGTTACTGAAGGCCTTTTTTGTTCAGAATGATCCGGAAAAAATCATTGTAATTTATTTAAAAAAGTTGTTTAAAATTTGAACTGGGATGGGTTACTGTGGGGTATATTAAATGCTCAAAAACTCGGTAAAAATTATAATTTTTGAGGTCGCCAGCTAGAGTCTTGCACTACAAGGCCCAGTGGAGTATTTTAAGATTAGTTTATTTTCAAGCGGCTTTTGATCTTGTTTGTTAGGCCAAAACCGGCGAACTTTTGATTTTCGCAAATATGGGAAAAATCAAATACACCTATTTTGATCCGTTACCCAGTGATATATCGCTTCACAGCAAATTTGCCAAGCCTTCTTTCTCAAAAGTAAATTTGCTGTAACTTTTCCGCGCGTGATGCTATGCGAAATCTGACAGCACCGTCGTGTTTGTGGCTCCCCCACCACCGATCCCAACAAGAAACGCCTATTGGCGACGCTCCCCAATTCCCCATTGTCGATTACACGTCTAAAAAAATGCGTAGAAAAAATGGAGAATAGCTTATATATCAACGTTTCCAATGGTAAATCCGTTTATTCAAATAAAAAGTTCCTTGTGCCTGAAAAAAATGTGGAAAACATATTTTTGATACAACACTCGTATAAAAATGCTCTGCCAGTAATGGGAAACTTCTCCACCAAGGTATGTAATGTCCTATTTACATTTAAACATGAATATTTTCAGAACACCAAATGTCTCCGTGATGTGAAAAATTTTGGCAAGTTATGATTTTTTTAAAAATGTAGTGAGGTACTGGGTATACCGTACTATTAGCAGCCGAGTCGTGTTTACATCGTTATTTGCTCATTGCAAATGCGTAGCGAAAATTCATTAGGTTTTACGATAATTACATTCTTGTTATTGTCAATTAGATAGCCGGGTATTTTTAAGTTTACTGATCTTTTTCATGTTACAACCCAATTAATGTCGGTTAGAGACTTTGTTGTTAATTGCATTGATGAAAATATACTTATTGCTATTCGGTATGTTAATCCCTGTATTTACACTATGAGCAAACCTTTGACTTGTAACCCAGATAAGGAA